GTGCAGAGAGACAGCCACCCTGGCTCAAGCACCAAAGACTCCTTGAGGAAGGGGGGCTCCCTGACCCCTGGGCTGGCTCAGGCTGCTTTGGCAGACGGGTCGGGGAGCATGGAAGCAGGAGATAAAGCAGATGTGAGAGCCATGAGCGCAGCTGCCTCCAGCAGCTCCCCAGCAAGGTACCTCTCGGGCAGAACTCAGTGGCTTTCCATTTGGATAGTGTGTCTTTCTTGAGTCAGGTTGGGCTCAGAGGAGGTTGCAGCATGGGGTGTCCCGAGTCACGGGTAGGCTCTACCTCACTGCACCCTGGGCATATGAGCTGTGCTACACAGGCTGAAGGGGGCGTGCTCCTGGCTCTCCACACTCGAAGGACTGCAGCCTTGCTCTGCGCATGTGGAGAAGGAATAGCTGCCACACCCTTGACCGCTGGAGCTAGGAACTCTGATGCCCAAAGAGGATGACATTGAATCAAAGCCTCGTAGGCCAGCCTATGAAAGCCTTCCAACCAATCAAGTTAAGCTTTAGAAGCCGGCTAGTCCTGGATTCAAACCCCACTTTTGGCATCCAGGACTGTGTAACCTCGGGCTCTCTAGGCCTGAACTTCCGTTTTCCTCTCCCCAGTGAGCAAGGTGACATCAGGACTTGGGTGTGCACTCGGCCATTGGTCCCTACGGTCCCTAGTCCATAAAATGCATTGAGACTGTATTTTATAATCGTAGGAATAGAAGCAAACACACCAGTATATGTTATGTCAATTTTCTCTTGTGATTTCCTAAGACGTGAGAAAATTTAATGGGGCCTCACAGGCTGGGGTGGGCCTTGGCACTGCACCATGTACCTTGAGGGCTCCTCAGCCCAGGTCTCTTGATGCTTCTAACACAATAATGAAAGCTCACATTGCATGCCGACCTGGGGGGACTTCTGCTAGCCACTTTGGGGGGAACCTATTGGGACCAGCACATCCCCAGCAGGGTGTTCTTGGGGGCTGGGGTTTTGAGGAGTGTGGATGAGCCTAAGGCTGGCTTTAGTTCAGTGGGTTCTTAAAAGCCGAGTGGTTTGAGAGGCTGAGAATGGGTTGTCAGAGTTGAACTCAGGAGCTGGGTCCTTCACATGCTGAGGGACCTGGGCCAGGCTGTGCTATACCAAGTGTCCCCGAGTCCTCTTGGTTTATGGAGGCAGCATTAATATCCATTCAGGGACACTGATCAGAAGGGCCAGTGAACTTCTTCTCACTGTATCCCCTGGGTCTGGCAGAGCTATCAGTGGGTCACTGGCCCATGCTGGCATCCTCTATCTGAGTCCTGGTCTGTAGGAAGTCCTTCATGCCTGTCTTTTCTCTTGGGACCAGGTCCCACTCACCTCCTCCAGGGACCCCTCCTTGGTTGCTTCATGCCTGTGTCGTCCTCAGAAACCCAGACACTTGCCATCTATCTATCCATTTAACCCAATAAAGGTTCACTATGCATCTACCCTCAGCCAGGCCCTGAGTGAGGCTCAAGGGGCAGAAGGCGATTGGTCATAGGCTGATCTGGAAGCAGCTTCTGTCCACTCCTGAGGAGGAAGACAAGAGCCCACAGACTCAGACTCTGCTGGTGCAGGGCTGGAGAGCAAGTCTTTGAGCTGCCCCCCGAGCAATTCCTCAATATCCACTTGCCTGGAGAAGAGACAGCAGAGGAACAGCTTGGCTGAGACTCAGGAGAAAGTGGCATGGATCCTCATGAGAGTCACGTGGATGTTATTTCAGTCCCCAGACAAGCTGAGCTCCAGCCTGCCTCAGACCCTTTGCACTTGCTCCTCCCCCGACCTGGAATGCCCTTCCTCCCGTTCCTGTTGTCTGTGGAAACTTCTCAGTCCAGCTTGCATCCCCCCTCCAGGGGGCCTTCCCTGACTCTCTCCACCCCACCCCCTTCGCCCTGTCTGTCCCACTTCACTCTCTGGGTTCCACTTCTTAGCGCTCACACTCTCTGGAATCGGGTTCATTTATTATTAGGTCTCCAGCCTGTGTTCCGTTTGAACATCAGGTGCAGGAGACCGCGGCAGGGGGAGGGGGAGAGTTGGGTCTTGACTGATCACCTGTAGGCTTTATTTTCATGCCATTGTCCAGCCACCATACACACAGCACTTACTTGTATTGGGGAGACAGTATGACTGGCAGAGTGCCACATGTATACAGTCTGTGTACCTCCATGCTGTTCCGTGTAAGGACTCAGCATCCACGGTGCTTCCCGGAACAGTTCCTGAGAGGCCTCTACTCTTTGGGAGAGGAAAGAGGAAGGATGCAGGAAGAGAGGAGGGCAAGGAGGGGAGCAGAGGACGGGAGGGAGGTATGCTCAAGCAGGGCAACTGAGAAGGGGGGGTCAGGTTGGGGAAATAGACCTGGCATAGGGGACCACAGAGACATCTCTGAGGAAGCCATCATTCCCCGGGACAGGGAAGGGGGCAGATCAGTCCCAGGGAAGCCATGACCTGGCCCTGCCAGGCTCTCAGGAGTGCACCCAGCTAGCAACCATGGGCAAGGGGCCTGCAGGCTGGGCCTGTGGAAGCCACCTCTTTGGCTCATACAGGGACAAAGAGCAGGATGGGAAGTGAGGAGGGAGAGGAGGCCTCTTGACCATGAGCTCACAGGGCACACATCCCCACAGCTCAGCAGAAACCAGCTCAGAGTACCCCTGAAGACCCCCCCTCTAGGCACCTTCCTTGTTGAAGCTGCGGCTTGGTGAGGCCCATCTTGCACCAACGTGGCTGTAACAGCAGCACCTGGCCCCTGCCCCGTGGAAATGCTGCAGGGAGCATGAGCCAGCTCAGGAAGGCATGTTGGTCACCTCCACCTCAGTCTCAGCAGGCCCTGAGCAAGAACATGTGCCAGGTACCAGGGACAGCCCTCAGCACCCCATCTGTGTAAAGACAAAGAGAACAGACCACCCTCCCCCTGAAGCTGAGACATAATGATAATGTGCTCATACCTGTTGTGAGCACTCCCTTACCACAGCATCTAACAAATGATGGGGCTGGAATCTAGGTCTGGTGCCAACACAATCTAAAGATGATGCCGTGGATCCTCAAAGGATCAAATGTCCAGGAAAGCAACCAATTTAAGAACCATTCCCTTCATCCAGCCCTACAGTCAAATAATCAATCATCATCCACAGGACTGAGCGGTTGCTGTGAACCTCTCCCTGTCTAAGAGCTAAGGCGCTTAGACATCCGTCCTCTTAGCAGATCTTTCTAATGACATTCAAAGGTAGATATGAAGCCAACCAGTTGTGTACATGCTCACAGAGGTTAAGCAATTTGCCCCAGACATACAGTAACGGAAAGATAAGACAAGGACTTGAAGGGTGGTACTCTTTGCCTCCATCTAGGCCCTGTGCCAAGCTATGACAGCGAACACTCGATCAGCTTCCAGGTGCTGAGGCATTCCATTGATGGAGACTAACTCCAGGAAGCCTGGTCCTGGCTAGCCCTTTCTACAAGCTTCCAAAGTTGCATGACCAGGTACTGATGCCGGCAGACAGAGCACCCCTGAGCAGCTCTGCTGGCCTTGTCCCAGCCCATTGGGAAGAAGGGACAGCTTCCCTGGCCTCTGGGTGCCTTTCTCCTGCTTCTCTTCTCCGAACAAGACAGACAGAAGTGACCACCTTAAAATGAGGTGTGAGAGTGTGCTGCCCAGTGACAAGAGACCCTGTATCAAGCAAGGGGTGTATCAAGGACCTCCACCTGAGGCTGTCCTCTGACCTCCACAGGACTCCCACATGCATGCTGTGAAATGTGCATGCCCACCCCCACCCTACCCCACACAAACACGTGTGTGCCCGCACTCCAGTGTGGCTTGCAATCTAACACAATGGGGTGCTTAAGATGAGGAGAGCGTAGTGGTGTGTACCCACAATTCCAGCACTCTGGAGGCTGAAACAGGAAGGAGATCACAAGTTCTGGGTTACCCTGGGCTACGTAGCAAGACCCTTGTCCTTGGTCTGTTGGCCTTTGGAAGTGCGAGACTAAATGACAAAGCTGATGTGTGGCTCACTCTGGTGGGATCAACCCTCTGGATCCGCAGGTTCCACACAGAGGGAAAATGTGTCCTACAGTTGTGTCTGAAGGGCACGACAGACCCGTGCCCTCTCCTCTGCAAGCTGCACAGGCGTCCACACCATGCACAGCTACTCACACTGCCTTTGCCACATGTCGTCATCCAGAGCTGACTTGTGACTCGGAGTGTGCCGTGCAAATCTTTGACCTTTGATTTCAATGTCAGTGGGGGCTGGAGCTAGTCTGCCATGGATGCCAAGGGACAAGACGAACTTGTCACAGCAACCTCAACCATTAGCATCTCTGAATACTCTAGAATCAGCTGCCTTCTCCACCAGAGTTAGGTCTTTACCAGGAGTCTGGTTTTCTAGACAATATTCCTGAATGTTCCCTACAGAGCTGTGAGACAGAAAGCCTCAGGGTGAGCATGGACGAAGACCAGACTGAGCCCGCACTGACACCTGGTCAACACGCAGACTCTCAACGTGACCCCCCACACAGTGCCCCTCAGTGCCATTTCCACAGTCACTATGGCTGTGAGCCACCCAGGTGTCCCAGACTGACAAAAAGGGCAAGATCACAGCTCGGCCTCTCACTAGCTGTGTGACTCTGGAAAAGTCACCTCACCTCTCTGAGCTTTGGTGTCCTCATTTATACGGTAGTGGGGCTGAAAACCGTCCCTTTGCAGAGCTGGTTCACGAGCTGAAGGAGGAAAGGTCTGAGCCTGCCAGGTCGCGGGCTGGAGTGTAAAACAAACCAAGAGTGGCTGCTGTGCCAGGCTGCTCCTGGCTCCCGTGCTGTGCGGCAAATGACAAGCTGCACCTGAAGGCCCCTGGCACAGGGCAGGTGCCCAGCAGTGCCTGTGCCTGAACAAACAAGCATTTGCCTGTCTGACACTGTGGACCAGAGTTTTGCATGTCCCTGTGTGTTTATGTGCCACCCTTCTGGGCACAGAGCCTATCGGTCCCCCGCTTGAGTTTTGGAATGGGTCCAGCTAACTTAAGGGGTACATGTGGGTTCTCCCAGGTCCTGCCTTGCAGGGATGGCACATTCCAGACTGGCAGCCCCTGAACAAACTCAAGGGGAATCCAGCTTGCTCTGCTGTGCATGAAGCAGGTATGGCCACTTCACTTATTCGGTTTGTGATCTCAAGGGATGCTTGTCTGTGGGTTCTGTCCCAGCCCACGTGTCCCTGCGCTGCCTGAGGGGATGTGGAGGAACCCACTGACATTTCATCTCCCTATGCCCTTGTATTGAGCTAGGAAGGGAGCTAGCCACCCTGGAACTTGGAGATGGAAAGTTCCCTAGTTTGGTATGTGTGGATATGGAGGCCCATGAGAGCTGCTCAGGAAAGAAGCCGGGCCTGCCAGGCTGCCCACTCAGTCCAAGGAGAGCAGCTGGGTCAGGCTAAGGGCTGTACTGTTTTCTCCTCACTCCTGGCTAGTCACCCCCCACCGTCAGGAAGCCATCACATCTGCAGATCAGCCTCCCATCTAAGTTACTGTCTGTCTCGAGCCTGGGATCCTGAATCCCTGCCCTGAACACCTATCTATCCTGGGAAGGGTAGGAAACTGATGGAGAGATGCTCCTGACTCCTGGGAACTGAGTGGCAGCAACAGGCTTCAGTCAGGATGCTGGACAGTTCGGGTGTAGTTTGTACACATCAGGGGACTGGTCCCCTATGGCACTATTAAGAAGACTTTCAGGGCTGGAGCTTCATGGGAGGCATGTGCCCTCTGAGGGGTGTAGTGCTGGCTTTGTGAGGTGATCTCAGTCCTGCAAGAGTGGGCTGTGACCTAGTATGCCTGACCCTAGAATTGTCCTGATTCCTGTCTGGTTATGTTACCTTTCTCTCTTGTCATGATGTCACTAACATGAGACGTCACTGAAGGCCAAACCAAGAAGGGTTGCCCGATCCTGGATTTTCATCCTAAACTGTAAGCTTAAAAGGCTCTTTTTCCATTGTAAGTTGCCTAGTCTCTGTGATTTTGTTATAGTAATAACAAATGAGCCAAATACAGGAGGAGTCTAGGCCCTGGCCTCTTCTTGAGCCTCCGTGACCAGCAACTTGACCTGAGCCACCATTAATTATTGCCTGGGCCACTGGTCTCCCTGAGATCCCCTGACCTCAAGTCTATTCTCTCCTAGCACCACAGGGACCCTCTGGAAGCAGCAGCCAGAGCCTGAGCCTCCTTGGCACTAAAGCCTGCAGTGGCCCCGCAAAAGCAGAGTGAAGGCTGAGGCTCTGGAACGGCCTAGGAGAGCCCACCACCACCACCTCAGCTGCCCATTCTTCCCTTCCCCCATAACCAGATTGTTCAGGTAAGAATCTAGGTCCCTGGAAGCCCTAACAAGCTAGGTGTGGCAACCCATAGGCCAATAAAACATGGTGAGAAGCCGAGGTCTAGTCTGTGTGGCCACATTGTGAAGAACAAATGAGGCGCTCCAGGGACCCCCAAATTCATCCTTCGGGTCCTGACATGAGGCTTTTGCTTAAAAAGAGGGCAAGAGGCATGTATAGCTCAGCAGCCCTGGTCAAGGTGAGGTCTCATCCATCACTGATCTGTCATTGTCTCAGCTCCAGTTTCTCTTGCCTGCCACGTGGTCTGACAAGGTGTAAGAACTGCGTGGAATGTCTTTCTGGAAGGTAGTCACCCTTCCAGCTGGCACCAGGCAGACCTTTTCTTTCTTCCAGCCTGAGACTCCTGGGAAATTCCAACGTTTTGGAGGCCAGTTTCGGTATTCTGCTAGCCAAGGGAGGGGTGCAAACATCTCTAGATTACCTTCTTCCTGCCGGGTTGACTACACCCTGCTCCCTCTTAGTAGAGACCTGGTCTCTTCTCGAATGCCGTCTCTACTAAGCACTAGCTTGCCTCAAGGTCTTTGCCACAGCTGCTCCTGAGCCTGTCAAGAAACCTCTGGGGCCCATCTGTTTATCCAGCAACTGCTGCCCCGGTCTTGGGCTGGTCCCCCTGCCTTTCTCAGCACTCACCAGCTGACATCCAAGAAGCCACACATTCTCTTCATGGTGCCACCTGTGCCTGCCATCCTGCCCCACAGACGGCAACTGCACCGGTCGGGGTCTTGGTCCTGTTCACAGACACGTTCCCAGACCCTGATGGCTCCTGGACTCCCGGAAGTTACTCAGTATTTGCTGAAGTAATAATTAAAATCACAAGAGGTTGGACAGAAAGCAGGACTTACTAGCTGGCCCTAGGCAAGCTTTGAGCAGAGACCTCAAGGGGAATTGGACTCAATTCCTCTGCAGTTGGACATTCTGGTTCCTCTCTGAGGCTGGGACTAGAAGGAACCCAGGGCTAAGAATTGGGCCAACTTGCCTGGCTTCCAGAGGCTCCCCCTTAGCAACAGTACCCAGGGACCTCCCTGGAGATGCTGCTTTACAGGAATGTCCTATCATGGCAGGTGGTTCCTTTCTGTTTTCCCTGAAGTCACACATGGGCCACCATTGACTTGCTGGTGACTTTGACTGGTACTGGATGTGTGGAACTAGGCTCCCAACATCCTCTGCTCCTGCTTGACCTTGAACTCATCTCCTTTCCTTCCAGCTCCTTGGACCAAACCATGGCCTGAGGCTGTCCCTCTCCCACTGTGCCCATGGAGCCGCTGGCATCCTCAACTCCCCCAGCATGAGACACGCCCAGCCCACTGGCCCTCATAACTGAAGTCGCAGCTCATGGAGGACCAGCAGGGGGAGCCCAGACCTTTCTCTGTTTTGGTGGCAGAAGGGGGCAGAGGTGGAGAACACCCTGCTGGGCACACAGTAGGCATGCAGTAGATGTCTGGTGCCTACCAGCCCCTGCCCCCTACCCGTCTCTTCTGGCCTTCCTGACCTTCTCATTTGGGCAGCCCCCCCTCTGCCCTGGGACCTTGGCTTCAGCTGTCTGGTTGGCCCTCAGCTTCTTTGTCACCTCCTTCCTGTCACCATGGACTCAGCTTGTCACCTAGAAGAACCCCCAGTCTAGGGTCACAGTGTCTCTGTGGCATTACCCTGTGCAGCTTCCTTCCTGGTATTTACTGTCTCTGAAGTGACATTGTTTACGTCAATGGTCCCTTTCCTTTCCTGAGTGTTCGGCTCTGAGAGGCAGGGACCCTGCCTCCACCATCCTGTCCTCACACTGGGAGCTGTGCCCAGCACACAGAGGATGTTCAGTCTCGGTGGAGCACTGATGTCCACGCTGCAAGGGCACGCGATGGAGTCTGGAGGAGGCCACCTTGCCAGGCAGCCATTTCTTTGAGTCTCACTCTTAAAGCATCACTTGATGTCACACAATGTCACACACCGCGTCTGTGAGCACTTTCAGTCTTGAGGACAGGTGTTTGCCTCTCAAGAAAGTGATTAGAATCGATACTATGGGAAGGTGTGCTTCATTTCTCTTGTTGCATCGGGTTGGAAAATTCCATATCTGGCCCAGGGGCTGGCGGCTGGGACCCTGGCTCTGAGCAGGTGAGGCTGGAGGACCATGGACTTCCTGCTACTGCCATGGACCACAGCCTGCACCCTGTTTAGGAAGACAATCTGGCAATATCCAACAACAGGGGAAACATGCAGACTCTAAAATTATGCTGGCCTGTAAAATACGCGTGTCCCCAGTCCTTCCTCCCCGTGACCACACCCTTTACAATGGGACTTGCTGTGCTGTGAAGATGCCCTGTCTGCTGGTCCTGGCTGCTCTTGGGGACTCTTTGGCCAGTCGAATGGAGCAACAATGAGAATGTGAAGTTCTGAGCCCAGGCTTCAAGACCTGTATGACTCTCCTCTCTTTGAGCTCCAGCTCTACACCAGAACAAGCTAAGCCCATTTGATGGAGGAAGGAAGGCCACGCAAAAGAGAAATGATCTGTGACCAGCCAGCCCTAGCTGACGAGAGGCCAACCCCATGATTGACCAAGCCGTATCAGTAGACCAGCCCAATATCAGTTGCCTGGTAACAAATAACAGGTTGTTACTTTAGGCCTTTAAGACTCAGGTTGCTAGGCAGCATCGCCGTGGCAACGGATGACTGATACAAAAGCTTGGTGGGTCTACTCCTTGGAACTTGCCTTGAGAAGCACAAGTCAGAGGAGATGACAAAGTCAAGCATGCTCACTGGACCACACCACTGGCCAAATGCGGCAAGCCACCCTTAATACCCAGCAGCAGCAGGGAAGCAGATTCGCTAGGGGTGATTCTTCCTCACAGTGAGACTCTAAGCCATGTAAGGGACGAGGCTAAGTCATACAGGGCGACATAGAAAGACCTTCGGAGAACCTGGTTCCTCAAAAGGCACACTGGAGAACGACTGAGAGTCACACCAGTCTGTGAGACACGTTTTCCATTGACACCTGTCTGAAATGTTCTGATGAAAGACCTGTGAGGAGCCCACTGTGCGGACACAGGCTTCCAGAATCTTCTGTAAGATGTTTCTGTGTTCCTATTGAGCTCTGTCTATAACGGTGTCCACAATCTTCTCTAGGGAAGGTCGAGTACCTCATTCAGGACCCCTGCATCTTGAGTTCAAAGTCATATAAAAGGCACCAGCCTATTAAAAAGTGTTCAGCACTTTTTTTTTATTTATTTATTATGTACACAGTGTTCTGCCTGCATGTATCCCTGCAGGTCAGAAGAAGGCGCCAGATCTCATTACAGATGTTTGTGAGCCTCCATGTGGTTGCTGAGAGTTGAACTCAGGACCTTTGGAAGAGCAAGCAGTGCTCTTAACCTCTGAGCCATCTCTCCAGCCCCCTGTTCAGCACTTTTAATCACCTAAGAAGCACAAATTGAACCCACAGTGAGATACTGTTGTGCACAGCTCCGTGACCCTGGATGTGCTAACTACCACACTCAACATTGCCAAGGAGAAAGTCGGTGTGCCTGTTCTGCTTTATACAACTAAATACATGCTTACCATGAACCCCAGTGACTCTATTCCCTGCCACCAACCAGAGAGAAGGGGAAAATCATGCTGACCTAGACAACCTAACATGTTGTTGACAAATGTGTGGATAAATGTGTGGTGTCCCATCCACACAAATGGAATACAACTCACCAGTGAAAAGGAATAGACCTCAGAGTCATCAACAACACAGATGACTCTCATAGGTCTCTCAACAATTGTCTGGCACAGAAGTCTGTCCCACCTACCCAGCCCATTCACTGAAGTTCCGAGAAGGGAGGCAGTGTGTGGGAAGTCTGCTAGCTGGCGGGCAGGTGGGCGCCAGCAGATCCAGGCAGGAGCCGACTTTACTGGAAGTATTTTGCATCTTGATTGTGGTGTGGTTTTATGGGTTATGGGTTTATGGGTGTTTTATCCAAACTATGAATTTTATTGTATGCAGATTCTATCTCCATCAAGCCAACACCAGGCAGAAGACTCCTTCCAGCCAGGCCCCTGGGTCCCGCTCTGCCACCTCTGACTCCTTATCAGATGAGAACCAGCTCAGCTTCTCCCTTCTCAGGCTCCCAGCCAGGCTCCCAAGACAGTGAGTAATTAGGGCACAGGAGTCTTGGATATGGAGCCAAAACCAACAGCTGGATCAGACCAGATGCCAAGCTGTCTCCAGCTAGGCACTGTGCTCAGCCACCCGGCCCCACTACCCCAGAGGCTCGACAGAGAAACTGTCCCGCCAGGGCCAGCAAGTCAGGGCAGTGTCCCCATGGTCTCCAGTCTCAGCTGCACAAGTCCCTGGAGCCTCTGTCACATGAACAGCAGGATGCTCCTGTCCATGCCACAGGGCATCACTATCGCTACATTTCAAGCCTAGAGGAAGAGACAGGAGTCTGGAGCATGGTCTCCCTCCATCTGCCCCACCCCCAGGTCTCCAAGCTCTTCTCCGCTCTCTTTCCTTAGGGAGGGCAAGTAGCTGTGAGAAACTGTTCTATTCCCACACAACCATCAGTCCTGGAGGCCCCATGGAGGTGGAAACATTGTGGGGATTTCCGGCCACAGAGGAGAAGGTGGCACACCCTGTCTCCTGGGCTGTGGGGTCTGGAAATGAGCCTGTAGCATGTGGAGCTGTGGTTTAGAAAAGGAAGGCTTTCTATTGAAGGGCGAGGGCTCCTGGGTGTGCTCAGCCTCCAGAGCTGGCTTCCATGTGGTCTACTGAGCCACTCATCAGCAAGTCAGTGTAGCCTCAGAGTTTTACACACTCTGGGCTGAGTCAACTCCCCAGGAGGCCTATGTGACCTGCAGTATCGCTGCCATGACCAGGAGGTAGTAGAGCAGTGAGTGACTAGATGCAGAAAGCTGTGTGTCCTTGAGCAGGTTGGTCAACCTCTCTGGTCTCTGGAAATGTACACCCTAATAGGACCCAGGCTGATGAAGTTGGTTGGTAGGATCTGCATGCCTTACTCCTCCAAGGCTTAGTCAAGGGCTTTCTTCTCTAGACAACCTTCAACCCCAACCCCAGGCCACAGGATCACACCTTCCAGGCGGGGTTACGTGTGGACAGGTGCCACTCTGAGACGACGTTCACTGACTCCCTTAAGCATCAGGCAGTGCCTCCCAACACTCCTGAAGGGACTGGTGCTTGGGCAAAGTCACCAGCCAGCCCTTCCAGCTTCTGAGTTCCTCTCACACAGCAGATCCCCTACCGGGAGGAGGAGGAGCCCCCAGAACAGGACTCACAGGGCTTGGTGGTCCTGGTGTCCGATCCCATGGTTTCAGTGTATCAGCTTAACCCTGGCTCAGCAGAGCTGCGGATGCTGGGGAGTCAGAGCAAGACTGACCCTGCACACCAGCCCTGCCCCTCATGCCCCTGTCCCAGGCCACGCTGACAGGTGTAGAGAAGCACTGGCTTGCCAGGGAAGGTTCTCCTCAGGCAGCCCATGGGCCTGAAGGTGGAGACAGCCAGTTGACTCAAGCTGACTTCCACTGGCCCAGCCAAACCCGAGTACAGGGCTCCCACTATCTTCTCAGCCAGAGAAGGGCAAGAGGGAGAAGGGAAAATCAGCCTAAGCGTGTGAGGGAGGGGACAGGCTCTCTGCTCTGTGTGCTCCTTGGAGAGCAGTCACATGTCCCTGGGGAACAGGCCACATAGATTATACAGAAGGCCCCAGGTAGAGTTGACCTAGAGGTGAGAGGCCAGCCTCCCCGCACTAAACCGTGTCTCCAGCTTGTCAAGTGAACACCAGCATTTGATCTGTCCCCTAAGGCTGCAAACACCATTTACCCCTCCATAGACATGGAAATGGAGGTACAGGCCGAGAGTTCACCCAAGGCACTCCAGCCATGACAAGGCAAGGTTCTCAAGTAGGTCTCCAGCTCTGTGGGATCCCCAACCCCCAACGACGCCTCTGAAGTCCCTCGAAAGCCTTTGCCACAGCTGGAAGATAGGCCTGTGTCTCCCAGTGCTCAGAGCCAATGCACTAGAGGGTATGTGGAGGGCTGAAGTCAGCCAGGGCCAAGACCCCTCAGCTATCTGTAGACTCAAGTTTAGTCCTGACGAGAGAGAGATACCCACACCATCTCTCAGTTACATCCCTGGACCCTTCAGCCCCTGTGTAATCCCCCCTCCCAGAGATGCCACTCCATTGGTACCGCCCCGCCTCCCCAGGTCCATAACTTCATGCCCTAGCTGTCCTCCATACTTGATGATATGAGCCAGGGCAGTTTGGATGGCCAATGGCAGAGGCCCAGCTCAAGGTGGCTCCACCCAGATGGACATTTACTACCTCCCGGGCTGTCAAGCCCAGGAGAGAGCTGGCCTGGGGCTCATCCCTGTCATCTGACAGGGTCCACCCACTCCCGTATGCCCCTACTGTGTCTGATCCCAGACCCTCTGTATTGGCTCCAGCATGAAGGCCCTTGGGGTGATAGGTCCAGCAGTACCCCAAACCCAAACCCAGGGAGCAGCTGAATAGCTTCCCTGATACCCAGCTCTAAGGCCTGTTTGAAAGGCTCCTGTTAAAGTACATGCACCAACTCACTCAGTGCCAGCTCCAGCAGACCCCAGGTAGAACTGACCTAGAAGTGAGGCCCTGGGCATGGGGCAGCCTCCGTGCGCTAAGCCGAGTCTCCAGCTTTTTAAATGAAATGACCAGCATTTGCACTGCACCCAAGGCTGCAGACACCATTTACCTCTCTATAGGCATGGAAACAGAGGTACAGGTTGAGAGCTTGCCCAAGGCATCCCAGCCATGACAAGGCAAGGTTCTCAAGTAGGACTCCCATTCTATGTGATCTCCAGACCCTGGTGACACCATATCTGCACCCACTCCCTCGGTGCACCCTGGACTGATGAGATGCCTGTACTCCTGAGCAGCATGCTACCTGAGTGCATGGGCCTAATGAAACACTTCTTGCCTCAGAGGTAACTCCTTGCCTCCCCAGGCTGTGTGGCACTAAACAGAACCATAGAGATAGGCTCACCAGCCAAGCAGGAGCTGCCTGGCCCTGCCGCATGCTCCTGAAGACATGCCCACACTACCAGAGCCAGTGTGTGGCATCTTCTTTGTCTTCCTGGAAAGGAAGAGCATCTCACCGATGCTCTCAAGGAGGACACGGAGGCTGAGGGAGAGAAAAAGCCCTCAGAGGAGCTATGCTTTTCTTTCAGTGAGAGGCAGAAACGGAACATGGCTCCCCTATTCCTTCCCTGCCGCCAGGAGCCAGCCCCACACAGACCTGCAGCAGAGGACAATCACAATGACAGCCTATAAAAATCAAATGGGCTATCTTCCAGGAGGCAGGAGAGAGGGGAAAACAAAGACATCCACTTGCAAAAAGTCAGTCTGGGGTCTGGGATTAGCCGCTTTGAGTCCTTACAAGGAAATTCACATTCACAGGGATTCAGGGCAGGGAGGCACAGGGGTGGGGTGGGGTGGGGTGGGGTGGGGTGGGAGTGTGGAGGAGGTCTTGGCTGCTGAAACCAAGAAAACAGATACTTCATACAGGGAACCAAGCCAGCCAGAGAAGCCAGTGAGGGAAGGTAAGGGGAGCCATCACCAGGCCTGAGTCTGCCCGTGGGAGAGGCCTGAAGTTCACAGGGAAGACCACACATTCCCCTCCGCAGCTCAGCATGCCACCAGCATCAGCAGCAGGGAGACCTGGGCCAGGTCCCCTCTCTCCAGTCCCTATGGAGACACCCAGTGTCACCCAAGCGGTGAGTTGGGAGCCCTGAAGACTGTCCCTAGTCAGGGGCTGGGCAGTCGCCTTCCTCGGTGAGTCTCACGTTGCTCTCGTCAAAGCAGGGGTAGCTCACACCTGTCCCCAGAACAAGGAGTAAGTGAGCTGACCACATAATCCCTGGCACTGGCCAGGCACACAGGGGACCCTGACAGCTGGGAGACAAAGGTCTTGTCCAAAGCCGTACAGCTGGTCAGCAGCTTAGAACTCAGATCTGTCTTCAGCCATGCCGGCCTCTGCCCACCTCACCCAACTCACGGAAGGTTCTCACTGCATGCCAGGCACTTGCCCCGACCGCTCAGGCTGGCAGTATTGGGTTTAACCCTGCATAGGTCCAGCGAGTGGCTAACTGACTGTGTCCTGGTGCGCCATGGAAGATGAGAATTCAAACGCACTAGTGACAAGTGAAACACAAGCACATACTCTTGTTAATGATCTGCCATCAGCCAGAGCCCATTAGCTGAACAGACAGGCAGCAGCAGGACCCCCTGGCCACGAAGGAAACAAAAGGCCCTTTAGTTTGCTGGGCAGCACGCCACTCTTAGGAGGACACAGGCAGCAGCTTGGACATCTGTCCCAGACAAGATCAGATGGATAGAGTTCTCATTGCATCCTGGCCTCCGTGCCCTTGTGGCAGTCACATCCATGCTCTGCTGGCTGGCTGCTCAGATGGGAGGGTGTCAGAGGGCCTGTTGGCAAGGCCTGGAAAGGGAAGGAAGGACCCGAGCACAAAAGACAAGAGTTTGGATACCTGCCCCCACTTTCATCATGCAGTACTTGCATCTCCCGTGGGTGAGGACGGTGAATGAAGGGATGGGAGGAAAGAGAGATGGAGCTGACCTGGGCCCAGCTTTTGAGAGTCACTGCTGATGTACTATTTAGTGAGCAGGTTGTGATGATACCTAAGGCAGAGGATCTAACCTTGAGTAAATTCATGGACACTGACTTCTGTCTACAACCTGTTGACTCCTGACCAGTGCAGACCAGGCTCTCTTTGGAAGAATAGCCAGGAAGAGGCCACCCCTTCCAAGGATGCTGGGGTGGAAAGATATCTAACAGGCCAGTGT